TCAGTCCATGGCATGGGTGGAAACATTGGGCGTGTTTCCATACACCTGAGGTCCTTGTTCACCCAGCAGTAAGCAGGTACTTGGGTGTTAGTCCACTGGTGTGGGTCACATCCTGAGGAACAAGAGTGAAAGACCCCAATGGAAATGGATACGAGATAGACAGTCCCCGAGTGGCTAATCCTCTGGGTTAAAAATCTGAACAAATCTTATCTTATCTGAAGATAATGTAAAGGATAATCCTTGAAACCCTTCAAGGGTATATTAAGATAAGATTTTTTTTCAGGCTTTTAACCTGGAGGGATAGACATCCAAAATAATCCTACAAGTCAGTGCATCACTGAGGACAGTGTCTTATTCTCATTGGAGTCCTTCAATCTTGTCCCCCAGGATGCAACTCACACCAGCCACCTACTTACTGAGAGGTGAACAGGGACAGCAGGTGTAAAGAAACAACCACAATGTTTCCACCCAGCCAGGGACTGAACCATGGATGCGTGTGTGCATGTGCACGTCTGCATGCAATGTGGAAATTTTAACTAGCAAGTGCTTAAAATATTGTATTTCATTAAATAACCAGTGGGTATACATTTGCTTCATTTACCAACTGTTACCTAACCATGTACATACTATATGAAGATGTATAGTACATGTATATTAAAAAATCTAGGTGATAAAATATCTTAAGATAAGATTTTGTTTTCTCCATGGGGAAGTGAAACAGAATTCTTCCTCCGTAAGCTATGCGTGTTGTAAGAGGCGACTAAAATGCCAGGAGCAAGGGGCTAGTAACCCCTTCTCCTGTATAAATTACCAAATTTAAAAAGAGAAACTTTCGTTTTTCTTTTTGAGCCACCCTGCCTTGGTTGGATATGGCCGGTTTCTTGGGGGAAAAAAAAAAAAAAAAACTTTGTTTGGATATTTAGCCTGGGAGGGTTACCCACCTAGGATAACAAAAGAAAGGCAGTGCATCATTGAGGGGCTGACTGTCTAATTTCCACTGGGGTCCTCAATCTTGTCCCCCAGGATGCAACCCACACCAGTCGACTAACACCCAGGTACCTACTTGCTTGCTAGGTGAATGGGACAAGTGTAAGGAAACATGCCCAATGTTTCCACCCTTGCCAGGGATTGAACAATGGATACTTAGTGTGTGTGAAGCAAGAGCGTTGCCTACTAGGCCATGGGCCACTGTCTTCAAGATAAATATTTTTAAATCACCCAACAGACAATTTCAGAAAGCATGATCTGCAAGAGAAAATCCAAATCCACAAATATAAACATAGGTACAGTACAATAGTACTTAAATTTTAAGTGCCTTGTCAAATACATTTGCATATGAATTCCCAATCCATATACAACCTAACAGTCCCCCAATTAAGCTAAGAAATTAGAAAATATCTTTAATGTCTACTATAAAATATCAAATATGCAGCTAAATTGACATACTGTGTTTATGCTAGATGTCAATGAATATTTCATGCTTCTCAAAACCAATTAAGTGGCTACTGATAGGTTAGGCAAGGAGCAAGATGTCTGAAGAGGGTTTACTCAAACCACAGTCTGTCTCCGTTTCAGTTTTCCTTAGGAAAACTGGAGATAACTCAGAACACATTAATACATGCACAGTACAACACTGTAGGTGATTATGACATGTAAGATGAATGGGTCATTGTGTGCAACAAGTCTGTGACAGATATCATGATGTAGGTACAGGAAGGCCCTGCTTATACAACAGGTTAGGTTCCTGACTACTGCTGTAAAGTGAAAATCGCTGTAAAGTTAAACAAAGCCTTTCTTCACTTTCAAATGCATATAAAAGACTGATAATATATTTACACTATCATAATATTAAGGGAGCAATAGAACTAGGTCTAAAACATGCATATACAGTACACACATTACTTACCTTAAAATATTTTTGTACATAGCTTATAGCTATGTACAAAACATTGGGCATGCTTCTTTACACCAGTTGTCTATGTTCCCCATCAGTAAAATGGGTACCTGAGAGTTAGTCAACTGGTGTGGGTCACATCCTGAGACAAAACTGACCTAATTTCCCTGAAACGCTCTACATAACAAGCGGCTTTCTATGTAATAGTATGTCAATGATGTCAGTTTGGCCTGTATACCTTGTACAGGTACTTGTAGAAATAAAGATATTATTATTGCTGTAGAAAGTCTGAATAAATGAAGAATGGGTATAATTAAAAACTGCTGCATTAGCAAAACGCTGTAAAGCGAAGCGCTGTAAAGAGGGGCCTGCCTGTGTTTAGCAATGTACGTACTGTACATGTGTAAAGCACATATACAGTACATTGTCCATGAAAAGATATGGTGGTTTTTCAAGCCACTGTCAGTCCCCATGAGCTCAGCTCACTCAGATAAGCTGTGACCAGTAAATTTGGGAATACATATGAAAGAACAGCGCTGTATGGTAAGTGTGCACTACATAAAAAAATCCTGCAACATGCAGCGCAAAATGAGAAAAAACGGCAACGATGTTTTTGGTGTAAAACAGCAATTTTGCAGTGTATTTTCATGTGTTTTTATGGTTGTACTCTCGATTTTTAGGTTTCATTTGACAGAATGGAAGATATATTACAGAAATTGATATGATTTGAAACTGAGCTCAAATTAGTGGAAATGTTCAATTTTTGCCGATGTTTAAGAGTAAACAAATGATGTCACCATCCAATACGTGTTCAACTAGCCAGTCTAATACACAATCATGAATAGGCTGACATTATTTATACAAATATTGCAATAACACAGTCTGCATAACAGTAAATCTATTTTTTGTGTGAATAAAAATATAAAAGGGGCCTGGGGACATGACTAGTTAACAGAGAAAATATTTTAGTGCCTGGAATGTCTGCATTGTTTATTCTGGACCCTATTTTGAAATTTGCATGTGTGAAATTGGCCAAATTACTGATTTCTGGTCACTATTGGGTAGTTGAAATAGGTAAATAGGCAGTTTCTTGTATGCAGTCAACAGAACAGAAAGAATACTAGCAAAATAGCTATGAGTTTGGTAGACTGGAACAAGGGAATGGGCCAGAAATAGGGTGGAAAGTGGGTGAAATCACCGATGCGTAAATATTGCTCTGTATCCACTCTGTAATCTGGCAAAATCACTAATCCAGCACCCTACAGGTCCCGATGATGCCAGATTAGTGATGGTTAACCTGTATTATTATTATTATTATTATTTATTATTATTATTATTATTATTTATTATTATTATTATTATTATTATTTAGGGGCTCACAGCCAAATGACTCTTGATAGCATATAGTATGCCCAAAAATTGGTAGGCTTCATTCAACATATTTTTTGCCCCAATGAAAGTTTTGTTGATGTCATATAGTATATAACATAAAACACTCAACAGCTTCACTTTTTGTGAAGCTGTTAATTGTTTAGTTTAGAGATCAAATTTACTGCTGTCTGTCTCCTCGGACAACTCTGATCTCATGTCATTGAAGCAGCATCACAAGATCCAGACTTGCCAGACCATGTCTCTTGCCCGAGACATGGTCTGGCAAGTCACATGCTTCTAAATAATAATTTCTATTATATGCCAGATACAGCATTATATTCACTGCCAAGAAATTTTGCATGGAACAGGTAAACCACAGGTATACAGCAGCCACTTTTTTAAGCTACTATGACTCTGGAGTTCTTGTTTACTTGCTCAATTGCATATTAACATTTCCAAAAAATTATGATTAATATACCTTTTAACAAACACCTGTCAGTCATTCAGAATTAAATTAGGTTTGGTTATCATGCCAACATTCCCAAATGACTAACTGGTCAGAAGTCTTTGGTATTTTCCTAATGGCAGAGAATTCTCACATACTTAAATTTAGTAAAATAATTGGGAAGCACTAATCTAACATAACCTAAAATTTGCCTAAATAATGATATTGCTGGATAACCTGTGGTCATATTTTAGCATCACCAAATCTACTGCCTGACATCAAGGACTCAAGGTCAGTGACATCACCTGATACTGTAAGCATACAATCATGAGTTTTCCCATAAAGTTAAATAGAGCTGTTAATACAGACTGACAAAGGCTATTTGACTGGCAGACGGCTGCACAAACATAAATTGACACTGAACCACACTGCGAAACATGTCATTCATTATAGGCTAATGCAGCTTAGCCCAACCCAATCTAACCTCTATAAAATATAAATAAACTCACTAAATGGCCACTACCCAATTTCACTGTCAGTAACCTTTAATATACTTCCATATGTATTACCAAGCAATGTTGATTTCTGCATTTATTCAAATTGCTAGCTACTACTGTAATCACTACTATAACACTATTTCTGTTATTATAAACTGACGGAAAGAGCTAAATCCTTATATAGGGTAACAAAAGCGACATTATTTTAAATCATATGAGCAGTGAATCTGCACATCTATATACTAATCTAATGTCAAGCTATATTTAAATAATTTTTTATTAGCTTTCACAGCATCCACAGATATTTAGTTTAATAGCTAGCAGTACACAAAATCCATGAAACTGTAGAACAGTGATCAAATAGAAAAGTATTTTGCCACGAAAATAGCAAGAGAAGTACACTTACAAGTTCTTCTTAGGGATCTGGTTCATGGATTGAGGCCGTCCAAATTTTTAACCTTATTCATTTTTAGTAGATGTTAATTATTCAAATAATTCCTAGCTAATAACAGAAATCAATTTAAACGTTTAACTCTCAATGGTCGTACATTAATTTTAAGCTGCGAAAACTGCTTTGCAAGTGAGAGAATGAACAAAGTATATTATGACAACAAAGAATCCTGAGGGTAACCAAAGGTTTTCAATGAATTCTTCATATAATAAACCTTAAATATTTATTCTATAGCCAGTGGGACATGTATAAAGGCAAAGAATGGTTCACCTGGGCATCATGCCTCACCCCGCTGCCCCTACATGACCAACACAAACTTTTAATGAATGACCAGTTACTCACCTGGTTAAATGCGAATAATTCCTTTTGCTTCTGTATTCGTTCCGGACTGATTTTTTGTTGGTGTTTCATAAATTTTAACATTGTGTCGGTGGACTGAAACTCGACTTAATAAACCAATCAAGTAGTGAGGAATCCGCAACAAACACGTATGAGCCCCCGAACCGACAAAACAACACTGGCGAAAAAGTTTTACCTTGAATAATAATCGGACATTGACGCTAGAAATAAGAAATCCAAACCCTTGTCGCCGGTACACTCAGAAAATATACATAATGGAAATATGTTCGGAGGCAGAAGACATAGCTAACGATGCTTATTTGTTGTACACGCCACTCCCGCCCTCTATAAACTTTCAACAGCAGCCAATCTCTCGGTACTTATTGCTGTCATTGGAGTTACCTGTAAAGCGAACATACCCACCCATTTATCTTATTGTTTCTCTTCTTACTGCTCATTTCATCTCGTATGTTGAAATATAACTCATGCAGAAAACAGTTAATTTTTTTTATCCCGCTTCAAATAAAAAATGGCAACAATCATAGTCTTTTATGTGTAAAAATCGAGGATATAATAGTAATATTTTGTCACTGGCGCCAAGCTGAGAGACGCAGCACCGCCACCTTCCTCTTCCTCCGCCACTCTGAATGAAAATTATTTTTCAATATTAAATCTCGTTCGACAACACTTTTGTATACTCTAATTATCTTAGTAGTGTTAAGATACAGGCAAATGTTGTTTTAAAGGACTTTATTGTATATTTCAATAATTTCAAAACATGGATTACTTTCTTGCCTAAGGGTAAGTGAGTCATACATGATAATATATAACTGAAAACTATAAACTGGAATATAATATATACTTATGAACCAATGATGTTTCACACTAAACAAGCACAATATAATAGTCCAAATGTGTAATTCTACATGTATCAAAGTTGTTTTTGAGTGAACATTTGTTAAAAGACGAAGATTAATGAAAAAATGCGAATTAATCTATACCTGGGAGAGCATCGGTCATTATACCTTCCTCGAACTGTCAGTGTCAGCTGCGAACTTTGTCTTTCTGCTACGGAAACCTCTAAAGTTCGTTACAACATTACATAGTTTTTACTATTTTCTTCAAACCCATGAATCCAAGGCAGGGTAAATTATCTCACTCAAACTGACTAATACACAGATCTATCTTGTACTCAAGAAAAAAGTGTCTTATCATCCATACATATATTTCCTCTCGAATGTAATATATTTGTCATCATTTAGATCATCTCACTTCCAGACAGCGGTAGAAACTACACCGAATCATGACGTTAACCTCAAGTAAAAGAGTAATTGTGTATAAACTATTATATATCGTCGATGGGAGGTAATTTTGGATGAATGTATTGTGGTGGCAACATTATGGTTAACACCAAGGCCAAGGTGAGTAAGTCCCCCCCGTCCCCCTTCCCTCCCCCCGTGGCCGTGTGAAGGTGCACTCACTACCTCTTACAAACCTAGAAGTTAGATATTCCACTCCTCGTTCCCTTCCAAACTAGAAGCTAAATATTCCACCCTTTCTACTCATCACAGCTTCTAGATATTCCACCCCCCTCCTCACAATATGAAGCTGGTATTCCACCCACTACTCACAATATTGAAGCTAGGAATATTCCTCCCCCTCCTCACAATATTGCACTGGATGTGATAATGATTTGAAAAACCGACAAGGTGAAGATTGAGATCACGTTAACTAGAGCATAATGGATATCTTTATTCATGGAAACGTTTTCGGCCACAAGTGGCTTCATCGTCCAATACAAAGGAAAGGCGAAGGAAAGGAGGAGTAGAGGTAATCAGCCCCCTCAGCCTGCGTGCCGATGTGATTCACTCCTTCAAACTTGAGTAGATATTCATGACTGAACCCATCGAACTCAGGCTGAGGGACTGATTACTCACTCATACGCTCAGTTTCCTTACGCCTTCCTCTTTGTATTCCGACGAATGAAGCATGATGTGCGAAACGTTTCCTGAATAAAGAATTCCACCCCTATGCTGATAAGTGGTCTCCACCTCCTCAACATGAAGCTGGATATTCCACCCCCTCCTCACAACTAGAAGCTAAATATTCCACCCCCCCTCCTCACAACTTGAAGCTGAATATTCCACCCCCCTCCTCACAACTAGAAGCTAAATATTCCACCCCCCTCCTCACAACTGAAGCTGGATATTCCACCCCCTCCTCACAACTAGAAGCTAAATATTCCACCCCCCTCCTCACAACTTGAAGCTGATATTCCACCCCCCTCCTCACAACTAGAAGCTAAATATTCCACCCCCCTCCTCACAACTAGAAGCTAAATATTCCACCCCTCCTCCTCACAACTAGAAGCTAGATACACCCCTCCTCTCCCCCTTCATAACCAGAAGTTAGATATTCCCCTCTCTCTTCCCTCCCGACTAAAAATTCCAATCTTCGTCCCCGGGGAATATATATACTGCCACCAAGAGTAGGCCTACAGCAGGCCTATTCTCTATAAATTATGCACTTGCCGATATCATATGTCCTTTCTATCGTACCTACTTAATTGTATTGTTTATTTCAAAGGGGGTGGGGTACCTTGATGCTAGTGAAGGGCCCTTGATCCGAGGAATTGAAGATACACTTCCCTTTCTTGAATCAAACGTGATTTCTTCCCACTTCCTGCACGTTATAAAATTTTATCGTGTATTTTTCTATAATAAAGCTATCTGACATTTAACTAGCTGTATTATATTTATATGACGTCGCATATCATTCCTCCCCCCCCAAAAAAAAAAAATAATAATTTTCCTCCCCACAACCCCACAAATATTTTTTTCCATGTTTAAAGTTGTTAACTTGAACCTTAACGAGAAAAATATAAAGAAATATTTTAAAACAGGACTCATAGCTCAATTACTAGCGCACTTAGCTCACATACTGAGGTCCGGGGTCGATCCCCGGTACGGGTGGAAACATTAGGACGTTTCTCCTTAAGAAACCTGTTGTCCATGTTCACCTATCATTAAAATAGGTACATGGGTGTTAGTTGACTGGTGTGGGTCGCATCCTGGGACAAAATTAACCTAATTTGCCCGAAATACTCAGCATAAAAAGGGGCTTTCTATATAGTAGTATGTCATTGATGTCAGCTAGACCTGTATACCTTGTACATGTACTGGTAGAAATAAAGATTATCTTTATGAGACCTATGGGCTGTGGACAAGTCTCGTTACATTTACTGCCCTTGTTCACCTAGTAACAGATATGTATTTTGGAGTTGGTCAATTCGGATTAAAGAAATAACTAAGGAATTCATGTCTAAGAACTCACAGGTGGAGGCCGGATGTTGTGGTTGCAAATATGGCCAGTTGATGGTACCACCAGTCTGATATTTTTTCAGTATGTATTATTTTGAGAAAAATGTTAGATCTCTTGATCGATAAGTCAGACGCAGCTTATAATATACGTGACTAGTCCAGTTAAGGATCGATAGGTTTGACTAGCAACTAAATGGGTGACCTGAGTACACAACCTCGACCTTGGGTAGAGCTTTCATTGACCACGGTCTTCCAGTCATTGCCGAGATAAACAAATACAAATTATAATTAAAAAATATAACTTGAGTGAATTGTAGAACCCATTTTCGGATGCACTGATCATTCTCTTTCATATGTTATATTATTATTTTTTTATTATAAGAGACCTAGAGGTAGTCTACGAATTTTTATTTGCCTGCCAGACCGAGAGGATGTATGAACACTGGCTTACCATATTTATTCCAAAAATTTACATCAGAATACGTGCCAGAACTGTTTATTAGATACGTATATCCGGAGTATACCTGTAGAGGATTTCGGGATCAACACCTCCGCGGCCCTGTCTGTGACCAGGCCTCGTAATGGGTGAGGGCCTGATCATTTAGGCTGTTACTGTTGGCCGCACGCAAACTGACGTGCGAACCACAGCCCGGCTGGTCAGTTACTGACTTAAGGTGCTTGTCCAGTGCCTTCTTGAAGGCAGCCAGGGGTCTGTTGGTAATCCCCCTTATGTATGCTGGGAGGCAATTGAACAGTCTTGGGCCCCTGACACTTATTGTGTTGTCTCTTAGCTTACTCGTGGCGCCCCTGATTTTCATTGGGGGAATGTTGCATCTCCTGCCGAGTCTTTTGCTTTCGTAGGGAGTGATTTTCGTGTGCAAATTTGTTGCTAATCCCTCTAGGGTTTTCCAAGTGTATATTATCATGTATCTTTTCTCGCCTGCGTTTCGGAGAATACAAGTCAAGGAATTTCAACCATTCCCAGTAATTTAGGTGTTCTATCGTAGTTATGTGTGCCGTGAAGGTTCTCTGTACATTATCCAGTATGCAACACTTAGCATTTTGTTGTTAGGTAAGACACATATGCAACAGTTAGGTATCTTTATTGTGAAACGTTTCATAATAAAGATACCTAACTGTTGCATATGTGTCTTACCTAACAACCTGTCGGTATTTTATACCATTTTAATGTTCACTTAGCATTTTATTAAGAGACGTTTCGTTCACTGGTGGCATTATCAAACTAATGATTGAGAAAGACCTTCCCCAAGGAGGGCAAAACGTCTCTTAATATAACGTGCTGTGTCGCATTCGTGTCCTTAAATTATTTTCTCAGTATATGTTGCTTCTTTTTTTTTTTACTTGATTCGATACAACTGCAGTACATTGATATTTACACAGTTACAATGCTGAGCAAAAGCTAGTTGTTTCTGTCATACACCATCACAAAGATTGGGTTTCATAGGAGTTAATGAAATCTAACAGCCTAAACTGGGTGACTTCAAAAGGGCGATGAGGATATCAAGCATTCCACTATTGTTGTATAATAACAGCTCCCCTTTCAAGGTAGACGAAATTGCAGGCCTGGAGACTATACCGAGAACCTAGACTGCATGCATGAGTGCCATAAAGCACCTAAATTACTGGGAACGGTTGAAGGCCCTCGACCTGTTTGTACTCCTCGGAATGAAGGAGAGAAAGATACGTGATAATATGCACTTGGAAAATCCTAGAGGAACTAGTCCCAAATCTACACACCGAAATCACTCCCTACGAAAGCAAAAGACTCGGCAGGTGATGCAACATCCCCCATATCATAAAAATCTTTGAAAGGGTCCTAAGAAGCAAGATCACCACCCATCTAGAAACCCATCAGTTACACAACCCAGGGCAACATGGGTTTAGAACAGGTCGCTCCTGTCTGTCTCAACTATTGGATCACTACGACAAGGTCCTAAATGCACTAGAAGACAAAAAGAATGCAGATGTAATATATACAGACTTTGCAAAA